TTTTTAAGTAACCGTTTCAGTACAGTTCTTAGAATTGAAATAGTAGTTTACGCAACGATTGTGTTAAGTGAGTCTTTACGACACGAGTAGAAAATTTAAGGCACGAGCCTTGGCGAGTGCCTTAAAAACTTCTACGAGTGTCGTAAAGACTATTAACGCGAGTTGCGTACACTACTTTACCTACGACCGTTTTTTAATTACTAATTACTATCAATCTGGATTTAATTACTAACAATCACTAATGATAACTTTTTAGAGAGGTTATGTTTTCGTGTATTGTCATTGCCAATGAAAGTGATGCAACGACTTGTTGTATAATCAGCTGATTTCCTGTAATTACGTGTTTGTTAAACTTCGTTGAATATTACATTGCTAGCAGCATTCTTACCATAAATAATATTGTATCAGGTACAATTCGGCAAATATTTCATTTATTTTTGGACTTCCACCAACTTAATTAAGAATACACGAGTATCAACATGAACAAGTCGGATCAACAATTAAATTGGTCAACTGATCAGCTGATCAGCTGATTAGTTGACGTTCGAAGCATTACAATGTTAATTCTTTTCTCTCAATACTTGAACCTCATTGGTCCGTTACCTGTGTGGATATGAGAAAACTATGCGGATATGAAATGAAACTATGCGGATATGAAATGAAACTATGCGGATATGAAAGTAAACAGCTGTAAAGTGAAACTTTTCAATTCTAAGAACTGGACTGAAATGGCTACTTAAAAAAACGGTCGTAGGTAAAGTATATAACAGCATTGTTTACTTTCATAACAGCATAGTTTTACTCATAACAACACGGGTAACGGACCAATGAGGTTCAAGGATTGAGAGAGGAGAAGCAAAATTGTAATGATTCGAAATTCAACTAATCAGCTGTTCAGGCCAATCTAATTGTTGATTGGTGCAATTAGTGTTTGATACAATGTTTCGTTGAATCACTGTCAGTGGCAATGAGAGGTTATAAACAAAAACATAACCTCTCTTAGAAGTTATGAGTAGTGATTTTTAGTAATTAAAACGCCGTCGTAGGTAAAGTAGTGTACGCAACTCGCGTAAATAGTGTCCACGACACTCGTAGAAGTTTTTAAGGCACTCGCCAAGGCTCGTACCTTAAATTTTCTACTCGTGTCGTTAACACTATCTTTACCTGACCCGCCATGTTAAACTTCCCTATCCCAAGCGTGATGTATACAACTTCCTTACTTCTCGAGTGATGTAAAGTTGAAAAAAACTCACTCGGTGATGTAATGAAACCCATTTAAATAACATTGAGTGGATAACTTAAAAAATATACCTCTATGGAGCCAACGACGTTCAACGCTAGAAATCAGCTGTGTTTGAATTTTATTGATATGCTTTGAAGAATTTTCCTAACCTAGCTTTTGTTTGTAAATGAACATATTACTGTTAGAAGATGAGTGAAATGGATAATGAAAAATATTGTACGTAACCCCCTGTATATTGTCGGGTCAGGTAAAATCTTGTACGTTACACGTTACGCAAGAGCGTGTTTACATCACTTCGGTGAATTATGCAACTCGCCTTCGCTCGTTGCACAACATTCACCTGCGTGATGTAAAAACGCTCTTTCTACACTTGTAATGTAAATAGCTATTACGCAATCGTTGCGTAAACTACTGTTACGTAACCTAAATGGCTTTCGTTACGGTCGCAAATTATTTCAGAACAGCTTTTTTTTTGTTTCCTTGTGTGTTTCGGATTGTTACAGTGTTCCATCATTGAATATAATCCAGGATCTTGGAATATCTTCAGGTGATTTTTGATTTTTTTTAAATTTTGATTTTTAATGGTGATTTTTCCATAAAAAATGATAAAATAACGGAAAATCAAATTTTCACAAAAACGGCCCGAGCGATTTTGATTAAAATTTTGCATCTTATGATATTTCAAATCCGCAAATAGTACAACCACCAATTCTGTAAAAATTACGGTTTAAAAATAATTGCTACTTAAAATAACATGGTAACACCTCACATTTTATTAACATCCCCTTAAGTGTCAGTAAATAGTAACGTCAATGTTATAATTTAGCGTCTATATTTTCATCCCCTGAAACTAAATTATAATTTATATTATGAGGTCTTACCTTAGTAATCCTAATGTTTTCGATCCAACGATATTGATTTCGAACCCTAAGTCCTGAGTTCATCATCAGTCGGGATCTAGGTCGACCAAATTTCAAAAGTTGTATCCACCCGAAGGGTGGTTTTTGTCCCGAATTGATGTGTCGAATCCGCGTTAATTGTAATTGAAAAGTGTTCAGTGTTATTTTATTTTCTACGAAATCCTCCGGGTGGATTCAACTTCTGAAACTTAGTCGACCTTAATCCCGACGAACCTTCGGATTTGAAATCGATATAGTTGGATTAAAATCATTAGGATTACTATTTACTAAGGCAATACCTCAATTATACAAGCAACCCAGAGGCAGAAATGATTCATAATTTCATGTACAACGCTAAATTATAAAAAATAACCACTCTATTAAAATGCGTGTCTAATTTAGATTCAAGTAATAACCGAGCTCCAACTAAAAGACGTGAGTAATACAAGCAATTTCCAACATGGCGGCGATCGAGTTTGAGGATTTATTGCCAAAAGGAAGTCCAATTAGGGAAAGAAATATGGGTAAATGCATTAATCGTGGTGGGAGGGGGGGGAGGGGGAGGGGGGCTGTCAGGATGGTTCTCAATTAACTATGGATCGAACCTATCCGTCTAAGAAAATAACTTGGTCCTCGAAGAACTTGTTATGCTACTTGAATGCCTCCTTCATACTTTGAGCAAACATAAAAGCAGGTTTGAGATTCACTCTGTATTTCCAATTCTTTGAAAGGAAACAAGATTCGATATTGTAAAATGACTAAGTCGGGTGGTCTTTACAAATACAGATGGGCCTACGGGTTTTAATTAAATAGTATATTTCGTACCTAGGGCCGAAAACGAGGTTTTGCTGGCTCGAGATAGTTTTTAAGATCGAGACGAAGTCGAGAACTTGAATCGATCGAGAGCTGCAAAACCATTTTCGGACCGTGGTACGAACACTATTTTTCACCACACTACTACTATTCACAATAATAGGGTTTTAAGCATAACATATTTTCAAATACTGATCGAATGTTATTTAAAAAGTCAAAAATTTAGTGAGAGCTTTGTTCTATATTTTTATTGGTTTACTTTTGTTACTACCCCCTCAGGATTGTGGAATTAGTGGCTTGTGTACCTCAAAGTCAACAATCCTTGAGATGACTCAACTGTTACCATGGTTTCAACATACTAGAGTCACATCAAACGATACCTTGACATGATTGCAATGTAACTATAGCAACCAATAGGTTACATAGAGGGTTGTGAACTATTATTTAATTTCATTACATATATTTAGCCGTTAGACCAATTTTATTGTCTGGGAGTCGTACCACAAATAAATTTTAAACTCAAACAGATTATTTATTTTTACATCAGTAAAAATAAAACAATACAAGGATGTCTTTTCCTAACTGCATAGTCACTTTTAGATTTACTAAGCTGTTACAGTCAAGTGTTTTAATGTTTTTTTTTATTTATGTTTAAATTTACAAAACTACTCCAGTGACTCCGTCACCCACTGACATGTACGTCACATACGTCCCAAAACAATGGGAATCGTGGGTTTGAGTCAAAACGTGTGGGACCATGTGAAAAGTGCGCATTTTAGCAGTGCTTAAAACCCGTGTCCAAGGCAAATTAAACAATGCAATAGGCCTTTTAAGTTTAGATGATTACTTCTTAACTAAAAAATAACGTTAATGAAAAAGGTCATTGTAAAAAATTATTAGTCGGTTCAAGACAGATAGTTATTATAGGCCTATGAATAAATCAAAAATACCAATAGCCTATTTAAAATATGCCAGACATATATAATAACAAGCAATTTTCGTCATACTGCAGCAAAAACAGCCGTTTTTTATACATGTGTTGCGGATTTAAAGTACTCTTATTATTATATTGATTAAAGTGCTCTTTTACTCCCTAGGGAATAAAAAGCCTATTTAGTCCCTAGGGAGTAAAAGTCAGCTATCGTAAACAGTTGAAAACTTCTATTGTAAGCAATTGCATGTATCGAAATGATTTATAGATTGATTTAATCGGTCTTAGCTTATTGTTGCATTCTTGTCAACAGTTCGACTTATCGCCTTTGTAATAACACAATCGTAACAGATGAAATGATCGAATCACTTACTAAACAGCTACTTATTTTCGTTAGCAATATTTAAATCGAGTTGGAAATCGTTTTGAAAGGTTATCTTTACATGGACAGAATTTTTTGCTTTCTTAGTTTGCTATTTAATGTTGCATTATAACGAAAAATATAGTTCATCACACGGACAAAAAGTGTCTTTTCAACCACTTATTTTCTGACATCGGCTTCGCCTCGATCGTTAACTTGAGCTTGGGTCGAAAAGAGTCACTTTATGCCCTAGTGATGAAATGTACTATAACCTAGCTTAATCAGGTTACAATGGCGGCTTTAAACAATATTTGATGTCATATTACATGAAAACCATTAATTTTATAAAATATTTGCAGGACATGTAAAATCTAGTAAATTTAATGCAGATTACAACGTTATCTTGTAAGCTTATTTTAGGCAAAGAATATCCGAGAAATACATTTTTTTCTTGCCGCACCTACAGTTTTCTATATTTTAACAATGTTAAACTGATAGAACTAATTTTTAACATTGTTTTAAAAGAGAAAACTGAAGGTATGGCAAGAAAATATTAATTTCTCAGTTATTCTTTGTCCATTTTTACAAAATGTCAATGCTGTAGCTCAGTAAAAATCACATAGACAGATAGACCGAAAACGGAATGAGATAGGACACATGTTATGTTAAGTTTTTTGTTTCTTTTGACATGCTGAATAACATGAGAAAGTTTGTTCGTGCAAGACACCCTGTATAGATAGATAGGATACTTACTTGTTGAACAATACGATGTCCGGTTTCCATACTTTGTCTGGCGGTAACCGCAGCACACCGATACCGCCGTAGTCTGCTTCGTCCCACTGCAGCTGATAGTCATTCCAAACCTGTAACAGAACCAGCTGATATTAAAACAGGTGATTTAGCTACTTGGTTCGGATCATACTTCAAGCTGGGTTCACCTATGTAGGTTCAGTCGGGAGAGTTGACGCTGCATTGAATATCTCTCCCTTAGCAAAATATACGCTACACTGGTAAAATACGTAATATTACGAGAAACTGAAAACAAATTCGTTCAACTCCAAAGATTCACGAAAAATTCTCGAAATACTCGTATATTCAATTTACAAACAATTAACCCAGGAAAAAAAATCAGGTAATTATCATAGTATAGGGGCCTCCAATCTAATTCTTAGTTTTGATGTCTTACGTTATAGTTTTGTACCTCTTGAATCCAAATATACCATTATTTTTCACAGCTATTGAACATTTCTGAAGATATCGCTGTTTAAATATAGAACTTTTGAATTAACGAGGTAGCAAGGATGACATTTACAAGGGGAATGAACTGAGACTAATTGAAAGTAACTTAAACTTAGTTCTTATTTAGGTAGGTCAAGCTTTATGCGAATTAGGGGTTGTATTAAGTGTTTTGAAGTTAGGTTGGATTAGAAAGGTAAAGATTAGATTATAATGAATCGAGATGTTGGTATACGTCTCCTAATAATGTTTTTGTACAGTTAAAACCCTGGAAAACACTTCAAAATCCTTTCAAAAATGCTTGCTTATGTTAGAACAGCACCATTCTACTAAATAATCCCACTTTAGCAAATTCCTTATGAGGATTAACTTCTTAGCCTATATTGTGATGCCACTTATAAATGTAGTTTGTCTTTTAAAACTTGTTTATTCAAACATTGTACATTTAACTATATCTTCAGCAACATTCATTTGCTGTGAACAATAATGTTATATTTGGATACAGGAGGTAAAAAAACTATAAAACAAGACTTCAATAAAAAAATCCATTTGGAGGCACCTATACTAAATAATTATCGTCAATTAATATTCCCATAGCCAGTAAATAATATAGTGTTTTTGAAACACGTATAAATCAATTGAAAACGATTCCTAATTGATTATTCTGTTAGTGGCTCAGTCAAGGAAGGCAGAATATGAAACTAAGGTAGCCATGTGTTGTGGGTCCGTACCCCGTTGCCACCATGTTAAATTAATCACTAGGCCTACAGTTTATTTTTGTTCTGTACAGGTTCAACCCTAGCTTTGCTTGATGTTACAAGCAAAGGCTGTTAAGACGTAAACGGAAAATTAAAAGTTAAAAAAGGATTTGAACTAATAAAATTAAAGAAATATAGGTATTAATTCATATCCTCTATTTTTCCAATATTGTTTCAAGCATACAAAACAGAACGATTCATGAAATTCTATAAAAATGTATTTCTACATTGCACGGTCTCTGATTTTCCCATCTGTTATTGACAAGGATGTTTCGACGTGTCAACCAATACAGTGTGTTGGCTGTCAGTTCCAAATCCTGGATTCCCTCCTAAAACTGCCTCATCCGGTCACAAGTAATCCATATTTTCACAGAGTTTCATCCTGTTAGAGGACCTTCAGCTGTACAAGCACTTTCGACAAATAATTATGGAAACGCATTTTTATTTAAGGTTAAAATGTAATATACATACATTTAATTAAAGGGAATAATAAACAAAACGAATGCAAATGGGCTACCTGTGTTTTTTCCAAGATTCTGAATACAAAATTGTCGGATTTTCACGATCCATTCTGTTGTAAGAAAGATAATTTTTAGAGGAGGGGAATCTCGAAACCGTATTTTTTAGTTTCGTTTAATGGTGATTTTTCCATAAAAACCCATAAAATAAAGGAAAAACGGATTTAAAAAAGAAATGGCCTGAACGATTTCGAAAAATTTTTATGTTTTAGTCCTTAAAATTCTGAACAAAATAGTACAAATACCATTACCGTAAAATTACGGTTCAAATGTTATTGTAAGTTATGTTATTTTCTCATAAAAACCTCATAAAATAACGAAAAATTGCATTTTAGAAAAATACTGGTCTGGATTTTAATTAGTATGTCATGGTCCTTTAAATGGGGAACAAATGGTACACATGTCATTTCCAAAAATATTTTTTCAAAAGTTATTGTAACTTGAGTTATTTCCCATAAAATCCCATAAATTTCTCATCTCACAAGGCACTAAATATATAAATTTTAATCACTTCGGTATTTGAAAAAAATATTTTTGGATGATAAACAACTCTTCAACAGCTGTTTAAAATGATCCAATATGGTCACTAGCCTCCAAGAACTCTTAAGATACTAAATTATTTGTTTTAAAGCTCTACAAAATGGTTGGGAGAAAATTGAGAAATTCTACGTTCTGAGGGTCAAAAATGAGAAAAAATAATTTTAACCCCATTAAATTTATCAAATTTTATCAAATTTATTAAATCAAATGGTACACATGTCATTTCCAAAAATAATTTTTCAAAAGTTATTGTAACTTATGTTATTTCCCATAAAATCCCATAAATTTCTCATCTCACAAGGCACTAAATATATAAATTTTAATCACTTCGGTATTTGAAAAAAATATTTTTGGATGATAAATAACTCTTCAACAGCTGTTTAAAATGATCCAATATGGTCACTAGCCTCCAAGAACTCTTAAGATACTAAATTATTTGTTTTAAAGCTCTACAAAATGGTTGGGAGAAAATTGAGAAATTCTACGTTCTGAGGGCCAAAAATGAGAAAAAATAATTTTAACCCCATTAAAACCATCATGTGTAACCCCTGATTTTTAACCCTATAAAACCACCTTAACGGTAAGACCTAAGAAGCTTCGACGTCTGGTAATAAATGGTATAAATGGTAGGACAACCATATCGGATGTGGAATAAATAAAACACTCCTGAATAAATGTATGAATACTTTTGAGCTGGGTTCAGAGTTGCTAAAACCAATCTCTATTATTGGTCTTTTAAAATTCACCATTACAATAACATTGGTATTTTGGGATAGTCAACATTAATCAGATAACAAGAGCGAAGAGGTGTTTGATAAAAACATTCTTCTGAATGATGTAATACAAATATGTGTTTATTCAGAATGCTCGCCTTCATATCTGATAGCTGCTGTTTCGAGTCCAGCATACATAGACCCCTTTCCTTATATTATTTGACATAGGCCTATCTTTGAATATACATTTTTTGAATATATACTTTGGTGTAGCACGTTTTGCTTATCCTTGCTACAGTTTAATCTTGGTTTAACTACTTTGAATTGAAAAATATTGCTAACAAAATGGAAAACGAACCAACCATATACTTGTGGCGGAAATTATCAACACTGCCAAAGGGAAGTCATTACTTTATGCATATTTTGGTGTAACGACTCCTTTGCTTGGACGCAATGTAATTACTTAAGGTAGCCACGAATAATGTCTACCGTCAAAGGTGAACTTTATCCATCAAAAAGATTATTACGAACAGGGAAAATTGGAATTTTACTTTTTTACGTGTGTGCGTGTGTGTGTGTGTGTGTTTGTGTGTGTAAAAATGTCAATAACACCAACGAAATGTTTGAAAGCTACACAAGGAGACTAAAGTTGTTTAGACGAAAAATGGTTCAATAGTACTTTCCTAACATTAACAAGAATTTATTTAGAAAAAAGACTTAGTTTTTTTATTAGATAAACCTGAAATTATGTCGTTTCGAAATGACTCGTCGGAAATTTTCTCCGTTATTGTGAAGCTGTTTAAACCTTGGGCCTATATTCTTCAACACTTTGAAGGCAATTGGTTGGCAATCCGTAAAATTGATAAATTTATTTTGGAGTGAGAAGTTGAAATTTTTTATTGGACGCACTAAAATATTATTTAGTAAAAATATAAACATGTTACAGTAGTTTTTCATTGTTGCAATGATGACAAATCAATATTTACTCCCGCAAGTTTCTCCTCAAATCTTTGGAAGTCAATTGAACACAGCATGAAAGGTTTTTTAGAGTATGCATAGTCTTATATGTTTGCATTGTTCATAATCTACATTAATGTAAAAACTCCGGTCAGTCGATCCAGGAGTTTTTGCATTCATAAGAAGAGCAACAAATCCACATGTACCTCAAGTAAATTCCACCCTTGCAAGCAAGAGCCCTTACTTCAATAGTATAAAAATTTACAATAAATTGCCTCAGTACATCACACAAGAGCCCTCTGTCAACAAATTCAAGAACCTGCTAAAAACATTCTTAAGTCAAGTGGCCTACTACAGTGTTGATGAGATATATGTCTAGGCCATGTACAATCTTGAAGAGGAAATGAATCCATCTATATAAATAAATATGAAGAAATGTATAAAAACCTGACGACCACGTCGCTGATGCGATACCAGTGGGAATTCTCAAAAAAAAAAAAAAAAAAATCCAAACACTATATAAAATTATAAAGTTATACAGTAGATAGCGAGTGGTATGTTATTGGAGTAGTTTTCATTTATGAACTTTTCTAATTGAACCCAAACATTTATGCTAATCGTTATGTAATGTGTTGTAACATTATCCTGAGTACCTAAAAGATTAACAAGAAAAATGTATAATGACAGTAGCAGAAGGAAAGATAATTTTGAGCCTTGCCAGAGACAATGGAGATAATATCATCTCCTTTGTAATATTCACCTTAATATCCACAACATATGAACTTTGGTAGACTCCCGTTGTTGGTTAAATATCCTTATGAAATAGTTTTTTTGTCGTTGCGATGTAAATAAAATAAATACATAGATAACTGAGAAACTATCGTACTCACATAGAAATTGAAGCTCGCCGGTTCAATAATGAGAAAAGTCAATAATTTTGTATGGATCAAAAGTGGACTCAGCTGTACTTTATTATTGGGCTTTCAATAAATGATCCTGCTTAACAAAACAGCTGATCTTAATCAGTAACAAAGCTACTCAAATCATCCGCTCTACTTCACACTCACCCTTAATTTATATTCGGCTCAAATCGAAGTACTCATATAAATTTACTTGAGTTATAGACTGACTATTTAAGTTGGATAGAATCGGGAATTCTGTTATATTTTTATTTATTGTCGGCACATGAGTCTGTTTATACTTTGAGTTCAAGCATATAATGTTACAAACCAACTGAAGAAAATTGTAGTCCTGGAAAAATCTACGGACATGCTAAATATGGTGTGGTAAAATGGGAAAAACAATTCACTAACCCACCCTAGTTAAAATATCTAAATATTTGAAAATATTAATATTTAATAAAATTATGAAACCATGTCCCTGTGAAAATTGCAATGTATGCTTGTTTTGTTTAGAGGAGGGTCTCTAAAGAATTACCATTTTGTCTCAACTTGGCTGATATTCAATTTGCATAACTGGGTATAACACGAAAGTCTGAATCTTTGTTCGGAAAAGTTGCTCAAAAACTGCTCGTCGATAAATCCGTGTGAAAAGTGTCTTTAAAACTGTTTTGTAAAACTCTGACCAACTAAATGCAACCCATTAATTGTGGCATGAGCAATAATCATGGGAACAAAGCTTCTAAAAAGTAGCCTCAGTAACAATATTAATGAATTTAATATTTAGTTGGTCAAAACCTCATAAATCAAAACCCCTAATGCATTTGCAGATTAACTAATTTCCACAAAAAAAGTGCACTCGGATAGTTGATAGCTGATACCGTTAGTTACCAATATTCAGATGTACTTACATTAATATTAAGATGCAAGGTGTCAGCACCAAACAATATGCAACAAAAGTTGGACTTTTTTGCGTTTTAACGCCATTGCCATTTTTAAATGATTTGTAAAAGAATATCGGTCCGAATCTTGGTCTTGTTCCTATTTAACATCGAACTTTCGTCAAATAACTTAATCAATTCATAGCTTTATATTAATAGCTTGTGGGTCCATAATCGACCACACTTAAGGTCGAACTTCCATACTTCAGATTGAATATTATACTATTCAATAAAGTCACCTAAACATTCTAAGTTATACAAGGCTGAAATAATTATAAAATTGCCTAATTACTGAATAATTTATGTTGTCCAGCTAAATACTGTGAATCTTAAAATTTGAGAAGATATTACAGCAGGTTTTAATTAAAAATGTATATTGAAAAGAGAATGGAATGAAGAACAATTTGCTCATCTTTTAGAGCGGGAAAATGGCCTTCTTTCATAAATAAAGATAATCAAACGACCAATTACAGACTTAAATTAATTATTCTGCAGTTTCTGAAAACGCTGAGTCCGTTTCCTATTGAGAGTACGATTTAAGAAAGGTTTTTAACTAAGCTGGAAAACTGTGGGCGTTCTATACGCGGCTTTCATTCGGAAAATGTTATGAATTCATCCTAAATTCATACATGAGAACGCATTCTTTTATGTTTTTAAACATTATGGTAAACATTCCTTATTTACTAACCCGCTGTAGCAAATTTTTCATTCAAATTCATTAAATTAATTCGTTCCAACTCATTAAATTCATTCAAATAGATTTGAATGAGCTGACCACAGATGGTAATGGGGGAAATTGTATTACTGTATCTCTTTTAGTATTTGATACTTTAATAAATCTATATATTAATAGGCAAGCATGTTTATTTAAAACCTTTTTTCTCAGCTTGTGTGCATCGCAGGGTAAATTTATGCACACTGTTAGAAATATATTTTCCTGTAGATGTGCAGAATCCCTTAATAAAATAGGCTCGAAAATAAGCACAGAAAATGAATTCAAAATTGAAAAAATAACATGAGCCTTATGGGTTGCTATGCTGGTGACGAAATAACAAAAAAAATAAACAAAAAATAAAAACAAATGGAAGAAGTTTTAATCACATGTTTTATTTACAGCTTGGGGTGAAATAGAAAAGTCTGTATATTACATGTTTTTGGTCGAGTTTTCGACCACTGGACAACCTCTATATTATATACAGTAAATTGTTTACCCCGTTTACTTGGCTAACAGTCGGTACGACAACGGATATTAGTAATTTTCAGCAGCAAGCATCGTTGGTGGCTCAATAATTTGACTATGTTCAGTTTAATTCTGAAACCGCTGAATACAAAATGGAAACGGATATTCAACAATATTCAACATTATTCAACAATATTCAACAATATTCAATATTCAAATATATAACGAATCTCCCTTATTACACATATTTTCCAATAAGGATTATGATTATGAATGTCTTGTCACAAAACTTTGCTCCTACTTCTTGCTCAAAAAATTTAGTAGTAACCTTGTAAGTTAACAATTAAAAATTTCAAAATATTGAAATTGCAGGTATTCGTGGTTGTTTATAAACAAAATGGAATTAAAATATATATTTTATCTAAACGTGCAATTGGTAAGGGAATTCTGAAGTTAACTTCTGTACTTCTAATTTGCCAAAGAATACTTACAAGCCTTAGCCACACGTTCGATTTCATAATTTGATTCTTTTCGTTCTGAAACAAGCACAAAAATGATTAGAACCTTATAAATAAACACTTAATATGCATTATTCAAATAACTTAACTATTGTACATTTCCCATACTTCGAACGAAATGTATAAATGCTAAAATGGTAATATCAATAAAATAGAAGTTTGTTGATTTTCTAACTAAGGCGTATTTGACTTAACGATCAGGAACACAGTATGTAGGTAATGTTTATGACCCTACAGACATTATTTATATTTACCAACAATTTAGTTATTATTGCATGTTTGAAATTATTTCTTTTCCTACAGTTACCTAATAATGTACATGTTCTCTCACTGGTTTGAGAAAGCAAAGTGGCCGATTCGCTCATCAGTGAGACAATGTTAACATTGTCTCAAAATAACTTCTTGATCTGCATTGTACGTGCTATTAAATTTACGGAAAGTAAATAAAAGAAACGTCTTATAACACTTAAACCATATATTTACGCTTATACTGTTACTCACAAGACGGTAAATATACAAAAGATTGTTTCACTCTAATTACTTTGTCTCACTCCAGATTTGCAACGTGAAGGCACGTTTCTTTAACAATTTATTTGTTTGATGGAAAATGTAGGAAAAATATAATGTGCAACTCGAGTGCAAAGTGCAATTTCCTCACTCGCCTCACTCAATCGCCTCACTCGAGAAACCATTCCTCGAGAGTAAGGATTTCTCTCGAGTGAGGAATTGCTCAATTTTCTCACTAGTTCCACAAATAACTATTGTGTAAATTGATCAGTTATGATTTCTTCACTGTTTGTATACGAAAGCTTTACTTTTTAGATTTTTCTTTTATTGGGTTATAATATTGTTTTTGTAGTATTCAGGATTTCATTTCTTTAGCGAATTTCACATAGGGAAGTCTATTGCCGTAGGTGGCATGGAAACCTAGACCCAAGACTAATTTACTTGGGCTAAGCTAGTCAGATCGCATTTCATTAGATATTTTGAATTTGGTGTCGTGTGATAGGAAAGCAAAATAAAAAAATTATAAATTAATTTTTTTTGGGTAATTTTAAATGCTAAATAAAAGTGCACTTGATATTTATGCGAAATTAGCCAATTTCTAGTAGTTACAAAAATAGCCACCATTTTAACATAGTTCTACCTTAACGTATTTTTCAAGTTTCGTAAAGATCGGTTGGATCAACTCAAAGATAAAAATGTTTATGTATAAAAATACCAAATGGTGTTTACAAAGTAATTTTGGAGAAAGATTCAATCTAGATTTTCCCTTTCTTTTGACCCATACGTTATTCTAGAATTTAGCTTTTTAGTTTCGGGACACCCTGTATTTTCTCAAAGACAACTAAAATAATAACACAGTATACAGTGGCTTAGATATAAAACACACATAATTCTTTCACGATATTAAGCTTTATGTAAGCTCATGACAGGGGTCAATGAATTACTTAATGTTATCATAAAGTAATCCGTTCTCTATTTTGATGGAATGGGTAATCTTGTAACGGCCTTAAAATCTAATCGCTATAGATTTTGGAATAACTATAATTTAAACATTATTTATGTTAAGTATTAATTTAACACAAAAGTGATAATACTTTCTTTTAACATGAAAAAAAGGGTTTGTTTATTATGACTTGGAACGGAAAATCAGATACAATTATAATGTGTTCACAATGAGCATGGAAGATGAAATTGAATAATTCCTATGGTTTTGAAGATGGTCCCAATGGTTTTTGCTGAAGATTATTTACCAATAAAACATTATTTCCTTGTACTAGACTTAAGTTATCAATTGGGTTCCAGAAATAAACTAATATGCTATATGCAGTCAAAGTAAATTGCAAGTAAATGACGAATACATCAATTATTGAGTAGGTAAATAAATTTTAATTGTGCCCAAAAGCACATTGAAAAGAAACATGTGATTTTCATCTGAAATAAGCTAAAACGCATACCATTTCGGAAATGGTTTGGTTGTTTATTCTGAACAGCATTTAAATATACAAACGAATTAGTAGTTTTCGTTACTAGTCCATAAAGTAGGCTTTTTTGGGACGATATCGTGTTTAACCTGAAAATTCAAAATTCGGAAATTCGATTAGGCCTAAGTCACCAAAAAGCGTCTTTAGGACTGTTAGGGTTATTAAATGACGCGCAATGATGTGGATATGGAACATTTTATTGTCTATTATAGTTACTACACAACAGCACACACATGAAGTAACGAGGACATTACATAACCTCACAACCGACTCCGGACATAGGAAGAATAATACATTCATTCTTAGAAGAAGAAGAAGTCATATAGGCCTAAGTTACATAGACACTTGATAGCCTAAAGATTGGAGCATGTACTATATGACAAGAATATAAATTTATTCTCTCTAACACCACCCCTTAAATTTATATTCAGCAAAATATGTAAAACACACAGAAAAATTTACTAGGCCCCTAAACATGTTTCATTTTTGCTAGGTTTATGCATTTCAGAAAAGAATATGTTAGGCCCTAAACTAACTATGCCTAACAATTCCAAAATGTTGTACACAACTCTCATGTTTAACTTTTGTTAGGGGCTTGGTCAGAACATCTGCTAACATTTCTTCAGAAGGTAGATACTTAATACAAACAACCCCTGATTCAACATGTTGTCTCAAAAAGTGATACCTAATATCTATGTGCTTTGATCTAGCATTAGTTACAAAATTTTTTGTCAACTGAATAGCACCTTTGTTGTCACAATATACATCAAATGGGTTCAGAGCATTTTTTGGATCAATCTCTGAGATTAACTGTCTTAACCATAACAATTCTTGAACTGTAAATGACAATGCCATATACTCTGCCTCACAAGTGGACAATGCTACTGTTCTCTGTTTTTTGCTGAACCAAGATATGAAACTACCAGAACATTTTAACAAACAACCTGTAACAGAATATCTTTCATTTATTTTGTTTCCCCAATCTGCATCACAATAGGCTATTACATTTTTATTCTCTTCCCTTGAAAATTCCAATTTAAAATTAACAGACCCTTTTAAGTACCTAAAAATTCTTTTAACTGCTAACCAGTGTACCTTACTGTAAGAGTTATTGAATCTACTTAATAAGTTGGTAGCAAAAGAAATGTCTGGTCTTGTTATTTGTGACAAATACAGTAAACTACCGATAGCTTCTTGGTATGGAACACTCACCATGTCCGTCTCTTCGTCACTTACTGTCGTGAAGTCCAAGCCTGGATCAAGTGGAGTAGTTACTGGCTTCGTTTTGCTCATACCGAATCTCTGTAGCACTTTCTTGGTGTAGTCTTCTTGAGAGATCCAAATTTTTCCAGCTTCTCTGTTTCGAGTGATGGTCATGCCGAGACAATGGTTGACAGGTCCAAGGTCTTTCATATCAAAGTGAGTCTTGAGAGTACTCTTCGTCTTTTCCATGGATTTCTTGTTGTTCGAGAAGAACAGCATGTCATCGACATATAGAGCAATAACTTGTAGGTTATTTCCTTGTCTTGAATAGTAAACACACGGATCAGCTTGAGATCTCGTAAAGTTCAATCCAGATAGCACTTCGTCTATTTTTCTGTTCCAATTTCTTCCAGCTTGCTTCAATCCGTAGACGGCTTTCTTCAATTTCCAAACGTTTCCATCCTTTGAAGTAGCGATCTCTTTGGGTGGTATGACATAGACGTCTTCATGAAGATCTCCGTACAAGTACGCTGTTGTCACATCCATGTGATCTATCTCCAAATCTTCTTTGGCTGCCAAGGATATGAGGTATCGTATGGATGAATATTTCACCACAGGTGAGAACGTTTCTTCGTAATTTATCCCTTTTATCTGGCTACATCCTTTGATTACCAGTCTCGCCTTGAGAGTTTCTTCTTGGTTTTCACATGCGGGCTTAATTTTTAGTACCCATTTAGTTTTCAATGGTTTTACACCTATAGGTAGGCTAGTTTCTTCAAAGGTTTTGTTTTTTATCAAGGAGTGTATTTCTTTGTCAATACTTTGTTGCCACTGTTTTGATCTTTCACCACTTAGGGCTTCTTCTATGGTGATTTCTGTATCATCATTTTTTTCACTGTAGTATATTACATGATCAGGCCAAGTTTTCGGTTTCTTCTGTCTAGCAGATCGTCGTGGTGCTTCACTTGGTACGTCTTCATTTTCAAAACCAAGAAAATCTTCATCATCAGTAGCTTCATCTTCATTTGGGAGATTATCTTCTGCATGATGTTCGTTCTCTTCAGATCCATCTTCACTTGACTCGATTTGTGCTGAAAGGTTTACGTTGTTCTCCTGAACTTGCTTATTTAACTTTTGACTGGTCTCAGGATCCTCTTCTTTTTGGTTTTCCAAAAATATTACATCCCTAGAGATTGTAATCTTGTTCGTCTTAGGGTCGAGAAGTCGATATCCCTTTGTTGATGCACAGTAGCCTACAAAAATAAATTTTAGTGACTTTGGGTCCCATTTCTTTCTTTGCGTTTTTGGTATCTGTACCATGGCGTTGCATCCGAATACTCTCAGGTGAGCTAGACTGGGTTTTCTCCCATGCCATATTTCATAAGGTGTTCTATCTCCAAGGATTGCTGAAGGCGAGCGGTTTGTTAAGTACACAGCTGAAGAAATAGCCTCAGCCCAATATATTTTAGGCAAGTTTGCATCAAACAACATTGTTCGAGCTTTTTCAACTAATGTTCTATTGGCTCGCTCCGCGACTCCATTTTGTTGAGGGGAGTAGGGAGTCGTAAGTTGGTGAACAATTCCTTCAGAAGAAAGATAGTTCTTCATTTCTTCATTGACGTATTCGCCACCATTATCCGATCTGATTTTCTTTATTTTCGCTCCCGTTTGTTTCTCGACCATGGCTTTGAAACTTTTGAAGATTTTTGTCACCTCAGATTTTTCTTTGAGAAAATACACATACATGAGTCTTGAGAAGTCATCAATGAATGTCAAGAAGTATCTTCGTCCGCCGACAGATGCAGTTTCCATAGGTCCACAGAGATC